CTAGGGTCACTTGTAACACAAAACTTTGGCAATCGTATATTCTGCTGAGATTTGTGTGGTTAAGCAACTGATGAAACCTTGTAGCCAAAAGAATCAAAAATACTCACTGAATAAAAATCACAGTAAATATGTGATAATAAAAGTAAAAAAACTCTTTTCTTTCTTGAAGACAGCTGAAAAACAGTATCCAATTAAGTATAATTAAATTGGAAATTTGTAATAGAAATCTACAGATGTAATTTTTCAGCAAAACATTCTCTTGAAAATAAGACCAAGTATAAGAAATATCTCTGATGATACCATTTTATTAAAAAGAATATGTGCAGTGATCTCAGAATACTGCAGTTGTATAAATTCTGAGTGCTTTGGTGATGTTATTGCTGCTATTGTTATACAGATTTTATCATAAAAATTCATGTGATCACATCTTTATCTTATTGCATGAAAGGAAGCAGTGGGAGATGTGTAGAAGTAAGAAAGATTTAGACAGTGCTAATTTGAATGTAAAGAGGTCCATCAAATCAGTCCTCGATACTTTCTCATTTCAGTATAAAATGTGTATTGTTATCATTGTGAGAAAAAAAAAAAAGTCTGCAGAACTGAATTTTATTAAAGAAGTGCTTCAGTGGTTTCTGTCATCCGTAAGCTGCACAAAACAGAAGAAAGTTTGTGGATAGTCATAGTAAAATTCTTCATGTAAAGGAAGAAAATAACTGCATTTTTCAGTGTGCTGTGCACTAAGCTTTATTTCAGACTTTTGCCAGAAGAGGATATAAAGAATCTCTTTTTACCTGTTCTTATTTTTCATTCCGCTCAAAGCAAGCAATTCATCTCTGTCCTCTTCAGATGATTAGTGCTTTCTTCTTAGGAAGACAAGTTGTCTTTGTAGTGATCTTTGGCAGTGATTATTGCTTTACTAAATTGCAGCTCTTGAATGCTAGAATTGAGATGGTTATTTGGATATTACAAACCTTTCTTAAAGAAGCTTTCYATTCTAAAGTTCGGGAGAGTCTTCTAGTATAAGAGCTGTGTGTGTAAATGTATGACAACAATTATTCTGCCTTTGCAAACAGTTGCTTTTAATGTTGGGACTTAATGAGTCATAATAACTGACTGTTCAGGAGCTGTAAGCCCCTGCGTGCTCTGGATCACACTCTGGATCACAGACACATGTAAGGTCAGGAGACTGAGAAGTCCTCCTTCACCAGAAGTGTATGTTGGTGATGTTGTTGAAAAGCATCAGGACTTCAGGATCCTCAGAGGTTCTCTAAAGKTTCTGTGAGCACCTATTCTTCACTTTTTATTAATGTATTTTGTCCCGTACAACCATATTTTTTGTGACCTGCTCAAAATAAATTATTTTGCTGAACAAGAAGTGTTTTCCCTTCAGACTCTGCCTCAAAGAAGGGCTTTGGTTGGTTACACTCTTCTGTTCATCTGAACTTGTGCCTTTCTTACTTCTACCACAGTCCACTGAGAAAGGTGCTGCCTTCCCAGGGCTGTTACTGCCAGAGGTGCTGCTGAGCACTCCTTTCCCAAGGAGGTGATGTGTGTGTCCTCAGCAGTATCAGAAAGGTAAAAGGTAGCAGTGGTGTATCTTGGCTCTGAGCTTTTGGGTAAGTGGAGACTGTCCATAGAGACATCCAAGCCAGTAAGTCTTGTGGGATCTGCTGCTCGATATTATGCAGTCCATGTGCTGCCAGGAGGATATGCCCCAAAAAGCAGTAGGAAAAGTGCTAATCCCGAGATTTTGCCTTTTTCTCGTGTGTAACTGTGAAAGAGAAATGACATCTCTCAGGATGGACTGTGGGACTGTGTTTTCAGTCTAGAGTTAGGAAAACTACAGAGAAATCAGATTCAAGTGCTCAGCTAACACATCTTCTATCGATTCCATTTCTACTCAGGGAAAGGAAACCTTTCCTGTCTAACATGTCTAGGATGAAATTTTCTAGGATTTTCTATAGGATGAAATGAATGAGGAATACCTATAAATGAGTATAAAGGGAAATAGATGATACCTCAGATGTCAGCATTACAGATGTCAAAATTCAGCTAAAGTTAAAGGCTTCAGTTGTGTCAAGCTTGCAGTTCTGAAGTTAGGAAATAATATTTCCAGACAATCTGGGGAATACTTACGATTTCTTTAGCTTCAGAGAAGAAAAAGGGAAAATGCCATGAAACAGTTTGGGATTTTTTCATAGCTATCTAAAATTTTACAGAAGGTTGTAAATTTTGATATGAATTTTGGCTGCAGCCTGATCTAGCAGCAGARATTGAAAAACTCTTGCAAAGAAGGACAGAAGTGCAACTTCCCACTGCAAGAAATATAAGCTGCTGTTCCAAACAGCCTGATTACAAGCCTTATAATGGACAAAAAGAGAGGATATGTTCTTTTTATGCTAAATAAGAGGACCAACAGGCCAGTTTTGGCATTGGACTCTCTCATTCTCCTCATACTTCACTTCTGGATCAGTCATGGGCTGTTCCTTTCCAGCAAGCTCCACACAGAGATGACTTTAAGCAATGARATTTAGTTGCATGCTGGATATAATTTACCAGTATAGGAGCAGCCACACTAAATATGAACTAATTTGTACAGACAAATGGTACTACATAGATCATTATTCCACCTGCCCTGAGTAGGTGCAAGATCTTCTTCTATCCTCCAAGCAAAATCTATGTTGGGGTCAAGCATGAACAAGCAGGAAAGGTAGAATGAGAAACTAAATGCCCTAYGTAAATATATATCCTAAATAACAAAAGGAATTGAATCAAAGTAAATTTTTTTAATCCATATTATCCATACTGTTATGATAACTGAAAATGGATCTCTGCTGTGATGGAGAACTGAAGACTTTTGAGGAATCATGACGAGGGAGAATAAAAGGAGCCACTTCACGTTATAATAACCATGACTGTGTTTGTGTGCAAACACAAGCTGAGATTTAGGCCTGTTTTATTCTCCTTTCATCTTTATACAGAGGTTACTCACTTTTCGTGTTCCTCTTTTTTCCCCATTTTGCTGCACTAATGAGTTTTTAATGCAAAGGACAGGTGATTATAAGCAGTGAAGCAAAGACCGCCTTATAGAGCGAGGCTGAGGAATTGAAGATGTAGATCAGAGATTTCCACTAATCTAAGATAAAAGAAAAAATCATGAAGACAGAGGCATATAGACAGCTTTGATTTCACTGTCATTGGACAAGAAAGGACAAATTATAGAATAGCTATAAAGCTGTTCATACCTATAAGTTGCCTATATGAATGAGTCTATCATGTGATATGATAAAATGATAATATAGGAATATATTCTATAGAAGTATTTATGTTCATACTGAGTTTTAGCATAGTAGAATGTGACTACCAGACAGCAGTCATATAAGAAGTATAAATATTATATATTAACTATTTTATTCATTAATGCTGTGTTTTGTTTCAGTGTAAAGTATGAGTTATTAGTTTGGATTTTTCTCTCCTCCCTTTCCTTTTGAACAGAGATTCTGGGTATTATATTTCTATTACTGATTTCATGGTTTATTAAACCTTGAAATGCATACAAATTAAATTGCTAGCTTTTATAGGATGCCTTTGTTTGGTAGATACATGTATCTTGTAGTAATATTCACCACAGAAGTACCTAATTACATCTGAAAGGTGCCTGATTAGATAAAGAGTGATCTGCATACAGCATTTTCTGATCAAAATTCAAAAGCTAATATAGGAATTGGCAGTGTCTRAGAAACTCTTGGTAGGCCCTTGTCTTGCAGCAAATCTGATTATTTTTCCCCCTTCTTGACATTAGGACAAAAATTTAAATCCTTGACATTTTGATAGTGGGAGGAGGTTTGGTAGTGAACTGGTTTTAGGAAGGAAAAATACGAGATTGTTCATCAAAGATTAGGTCAATCATGATGTTTCATCTCGGTTTTTCTCTTGCAACCTACTTTTAATTTTCTGTAAGTATAAATTAAATAAAATACAGTAGAAATTTTTTTCATGGAAGCAACCTTTCATCAATAACACAATGATTTGTTGGCAATATCTTTAATTTTGATTTTAATGTATTCTGGCAAAATTCAAAACTTTGTGACTAGCTGTAGCTAAGGGATACTTTGTGCAATTCTTCTAAGAGTTTTGAATAATAAAAATACTCTCATGACTATGCAGTTTACTTACACGGTCAGATTTTGTAGCTTTCTCAGATGCGACACTTCTCCATTTAAGAAACGAGGAAACTATGAAAGGGTTATTAAGTGTGTTGCCTAGAGGGACAGAAAAATCCATGTCAGAGCGGGAACAAGGTTTCAGAGTACTGCTTAAATCAGTGTCATGTCTTTGGCTGATAGATTTCTTGTCCAGTGCAATCCATTTTGATGCCCTACATTTTGTAGTTTAATTTATTTTGATACTGAAACTTGGTGTAAGAATTACATTAACATTTTGTGCTTTTTTGCTATTCAGCTGTCTAGAACAAAGGTCCTCTGTCATGTTTTTGCCCTAGGTTAACATCATATATAAGGTATATTTCAGTATCTGTATCAGGGAGTTATTTTCACACAAGTACTCATCTTATATACTGTGGAGTAAATTGGAGCTAGCAAGGGAATGAATAATTAATCTTTCTTCTATTGATGAGAATAATTTTCAAAAGCAGTTCTTCTCTTTCTGATAATGGAATAATACTTTGGACACTCTTCAAATATTTGCACAAAGTCCACAGATACACTGTGTCAGATATAACGCCAGTTATTTAAATGACTTAGTTATCTGTTAGCTCAGTGCTTTACATACTGAACTGCTCCATTCCTCAAGTTTGTAGGCTTGATTACATGTCATTAGGGATAAAAAGAAGCCAAGTAGTCTACAATTTGGATAGTTTGGTGTATGTTTTGAATAAAATGTGCTTCAGAAAATTGATCACATGGGACTATCTGTAAAATATCCTAACCAAACTACCTTCCAYGTGCATTTAATGGATTTTCTGATTTTATTTTGCTTAGGTCAATGGAACAGAAATTGAGTATGAATTTGAAGAAATTACATTGGAGAGGGTAAGTGTAACATTATTTTCTTATGGGCAAAATGTTTTCTGTAGTGCAAATATGTGTGAAATTAAAAATAGTCACAATTAAAAAAATATATCTTTTGGATGAGGACTTCCACTATGCATCCTGTCCCAATAAAATGCAAGTAATTTGGTAGGATAAGCCTTTCATATTTTTAAGATGTTTCAAGTGTAGGGACTTGTGGAACAGCATCCAGAATACTTTCCTTCTTGCAGCTGCCTAAGTGCTTGACCAGGCATTTGGTCATTAGGAAGAGCCCATGTGACTTGGTAAATCTCTTTTGGTTGTGAACTGGAAATGCAGAAGCTTTTCACACTCAAACCTCCTTGATTTCCTTGCTTGGGTGTCTGTTAATAAAAGACATGCAGTCTTCATTTGTAAAACAAGAGTTGCAAAAGATTTTTTTTGTGTCTTTGAGTGACTCTATAAAAGCTGAAGGCTGTATCTGTGTATAAGGGATTATAATTTTATCCAAGTCTAAATTACATCAGTTGTATTYGGGACTGGCAGTGACTGGCAGTGAAGCCTTTGTTAGCAGTAGACAGAGCTAGAATGATATTTAGAAGTTGCATTGCATTGTGGATAAATTCTTAGCTTTGTTTTTTTCTTGCCTCTTTTTTCTTTTTCTTTTTTTTTTTTTTTTGTTACATAACTGCTTTCGTTAGACTACAGACTTTCTTTATCATAGGGCCAACACCAGATGGCCAAGAAAGTCTTAGCTTTCTCATTTACAGTAGTGCTTAGAAGAATTGCTAATGGATTCAAGACTGTCCTTGCCAAATTCCTTCAATATTCTACCCATATTCTGGTAATATAAAGTTTTATCATCTTGGAGAAAACATTTAGGTTTCTTTCTACATTAAATGTTTGAATGCAAGGCCTGATTTATCAAGATGTGACTGGCMCTGTTTGAGCTGATGCCTGTAAGGTAGCAAACTACTATTCAATTAGATACTTAGATTATGCAATTCCTTGCATTTCTTCTTCATGCTATGTTTTTAATTGCCCAGGATAATGAATTTCATAACCATTGAACTTAAAGGGATACAAGCTTGTATTCTCATTGATTTGATCATTCAGGCAAATTATAAAAGACCAATATATCTTTTTATTGTAGCCACTCTCTGCACAGTCTCATAACAGAAAATGCATAAGGTTATAGGCACTTTTTATCTACTGTCTCTCAAGTTATTTGTGCATCACTAGTTATTCATTGGACTAGAGTTTCCAAAGGTCACTGAACAGAACACATGCCTCCTGGGTGATATTCTGAAAACCACTTTATTTTTAATAGATGTGTAAGTTATCGGTGTATGTTCCGCAGAAGCAATGCAATTTGTATCTACTCACCCTATCTCATCCAAAACATATAACTGGTAATTCAAAATGTAATAAAAAAATAAAGAAACTGATAAGCAATAGCAAACAAAGCTATAGATTTTAATGGAGGAATGCTCTGTTGTTTTCTGGATGCTGTTGAATCTGTGGCTTTTGGTTATTACTGCTTGAAATGCTCTGTCACATGTACCAGTGTTTTGTCTCAAAGACAGGGTACTGTGTCTGCTGGCTTTTGTGAGATATGAAACACAAGTGATTGCCTTTAAATGGCTGTCATTTATGATCGACTGAAAGCATTTTTCAGAAGAAAGACATTCTCCATGTTGATTATTCATTTTCTTCCACAAAAGCGCCTTTAGAAATTAGTTGGAATTTCATCTGTCTGTATTTAATGGCAAAGCTGCAAATTGTATTACAGTTGCTGCTTTTCTGAGAGAAAAATCTAGTCTGTCCATATGAAATACTTGGTCATTGTCATTTTAGTCCTTCTATTCAAGTTACAGAATTCTGCATCCCCAAAATAATCAAAGATTTTCTTTATGACATTTATCCACATTTTGAATAATTAAAATAATTTTGCAATCAATGTGCTTTAAGGTGTTATTAAGGCTTTTGCACTTTTTATTTCTGGCAGAACAAAAGGGAAGGCATTGTTTCTATCAGGCATGAGCATCTCCAGGTTCCATAAACTTGGCATTAACTCCTTTAATTTAAGGTCGAGGTGGGGGAATTGCTTTCCTGAGAAGAGTTGCTTGGTTAGGTATGACTCCTGCCGCCAGGTAAAGCGATGGCTCCTTCTTTTGGGGCAACATAACAGGTGTAAGCAGGCAGAATGTCTCCCATGCAGAGCTGGGTCTTGTAAAAGTGCCAGAATTGACTGCAAGGATATAATGAGCTTGCATAGAATGATGATTATTATTATTACTATTATTATTATTATTAATTTCTGCTCCATTTGACAATCTCATTTACTTGATTCCATTTAAAACTTTAGGTGTCCTGATTTATAGTCAACTAAGACTTGGGGCTCTGAGCTTACAAGGCTGGGGTAAGAGCTTGAGAGGGTGAGTTTGGGGCAGATCTATCGTAAAAGTACAGTCAGCTTGGAGTTCTTTCTCTATTAATTAAAAGAGGTTGTAATCATGCATGTCAATCCTTTTTGTCCCCTTTTTGAGCCTTGCACAATTTTTCTCCTCATCGGCTCATCAGATAAATCACTGAGCCTAGGGATCACTGTTAAGTGAGTGCCTATTAACATAACACAATTGTACAGTTAAGAGAAATTTTTAAAAAATGTTCTTTTCTTAAATGTACATACATTTTATATATATATGCTTAGTTTCTTCATCCACCTCAATGAATGTGTGAATTTCTCTGCCAACTTAAAGCTTAAAGTCATAAAATGCAGATCCAAGACTTGGTGGTTCGTAACAAACTGCGGTGCTCAAAAGTATACCTAGAAAAAAATCCCTAAAATATGCCATTATCTTGCTCTAGTTTGAATAACAAAGACATAAATTGATTTGTATTAGTGCAGTATTCCATTACTGGCAAGGCTTGAAAAATGTATCCAAGTGCTATGAAGAGAGAGATCTACACTTGTAAATCATGGTCAGTATAAAAGRCAGCAACTGAATATGCTCTGTCAAAGCCTAGCCTAAATTCTCTAAGCTAGCAGAAAGTTTTAATTAATTGACTACCTGGTACAGTGCTGTGCTTGGGGACMCTTGCTGAAGAGGTGGTTTTAGTAGAAGTTGATGGAACATTAGCCAATATTAATAGTTACCTTGAAGAATTGTAAAGAAAGACAGTGGGTCACTTCATGAGTCATGTTGGATTCATGCTGAGTTCAACATCTGAGGTCAGACTTTTTGCTCATCTAACCTCGCCTATTTTGTAGATGTTAGAGGAAAGAAAAAGAGGGAAGTAATGGTTAGTAATACTGTTTTCACAAAATCTTTTGATGCCTCAGCACATATTTTCATTCTGTAGCTGTATGAAAGTAGAATGTTATTACTTTTTGTGGAATAGAGTGTTTAGAAAAGTTAAATTCTATCAACTTTAGAACTAAATTCTATCAACTTTAGAACGGGGGAGGTGCCGGAGGACTGAAAGAAAGTCAACGTCACTCCAGTTTTCAAGAAGGGCAAGAAGGAGGACCCGGGCAACTACAGGCCGGTGAGCCTCACCTCCATCCCTGGAAAAGTGATGGAACAGCTCATCCTGGCTTCTGTCTCCAGACACGTGGAGGAGAAGAAGGTGCTCAGAAGTAGCCAGCATGGATTCACCAAGGGGAAATCCTGCTTGACTAACCTGATCACCTTCTATGATGGAGTGACTAGCTGGATAGATGAGGGCAGAGTGGTGGATGTCATCTATCTGGACTTCAGCAAGGCTTTTGACACCATCCCTCACAGCATCCTCCTGGGCAAGCTCCGAAGGTGTGGGATAGATGAGTGGACAGGGAGGCGGATTAGGAATTGGCTCGATGGCAGGGTGCAGAGAGTGGTAGTCAGTGGCGCGGAGTCCAGTTGGAGACCTGTAGTTAGCGGTGTCCCCCAGGGGTCGGTCCTCAATCTAGTCGTGCTCAACTTATTCATTAATGATCTGAATGAAGGGCTGGAGTGCTCCCTCAGCAAGTCTGCTGATGATACCAAACTGGGAGAAGTAGCTGATAGCCCTGAGGGCTGTGCTGCCATCCAGAGGGACCTGGACAGACTGGAG